TCTAGGAGGTTAATGTGCAGAGTGTATCTGGTTAAGGACCAGCTGCTCTGCACTGTATGAGTGTGAAGATGATCTCACAAACCAATTTAGGAGGCATCGGTTGGCCCAGATCCTGGGTGTGGGTTGCAGCAGGCTAGTGTGTCTGTCTCAAAAGGCAGGGTTCTGGAGTCTGTCTTAGTTTGAATAAGAAAATAAAGGAAATGCACCCCAGGGTGACTATCAGTCACACTGTCATATAAGACAAACCCTCGGTGAGCTGCTCGATCGGTTCAGGGTGACGGTTATGGCTGTAGAAAGCACTGGGTCTCCCTGATCTTTCACCACAGTCACCGGCCTCGCTCCCCAGCCGCAGCGTTCTGATTCCCCATGTGCAGCCCCACCCGGAACAGGCTGCGGTCAGCGGCCCGCTGGAAGGAGAGCCACGTGTGACAGCCCAGATCGCCCTCAGAAACCCGCAGCCTGTGAGCCAAGTGCCCGCAGCTCGCAGCGCGGGGCACTTTCCCTCGACACCCGCGGCTCCCCAGTGTAAGAGGCCGATTCGAAGCAGGGGACCTTGTCATTTACATAGGAAATTCTCACTCGGAGGGATTCCCTGCGAGGCAGAGGAGGAGAGCGGCAATCCCGGGCGACTATAGTGACCTTGTAGGCGGCGGCCGCAGCTCTGCCCAAGACGCCGCTGGTCACCAAGGAGAATGTGTTTTCCGCAGGGACAGCAGCTGAAACGGTACGTTCTGCAGAATGTGGCCGCTGATCTTCCCGTTGTCTTCGGAGCCCCGGTCTATGACACTGAGCAGACCGACCATCGTCCCAGCTGCAGTGTCTTCCCCGATAGGATTAGAAAGGGAATTTACCGTCACTGCTGGGACATTGCCATTGCCATTCACAACCTTTACAAGAACTGCAATGGCATGCCAATAGTAACTGACTTTCCTCCCGCGCCTGCATTTCCACATCATATTCTGCACCTTTTCTTAAAATCCACCCCCCCCCCTTCCAGTATCTGCCCGGTATCACGCTCAGTAGAAAATATTCTCTGCACTTCAGGTGCAGCGTTAGTGCCCAAAGTGTACTCTTTTCTTCCATTCAAATACATCAGTAGCATTCAGCTGAATAATCAATGCGTCTTTGACCACATCCTCCGCTAGTCTGGCAGCGTAGCTGTTTTAACCAAGCACGGGACCGGCAGCGTTGGAATCCAGCACACCGACGCAGACGTATCTTTGGGAAATCCCGTTGTCTTTCGCTTTTACAGTGATATTTTGGATCGGCTCTTGTTCTCCCTGCAGTGACTTTTGTAACACTGACATTGGGATTTGATTCCATTCACGACACGTATGTACTTTTAAAGCAAATGCTCACTTCTCGTAAGTTTGTAAGGGGCCAAAGAAGTATTCCCAACATCCGGATCGTGAGAGCCGGCTGGTGGGAACACCGTGCCAGGCATTGCTGACTCAGCTCCTGGGAGCGATACTTCTCCACTCTGGAGAAATCTGCGCGAGCTGTCATTTGTAACCAGGACTGCCAGCCGACAATAGTGTAGGAGAGAGGATTTTCAATGACAACCTCAAATTTCATCTGACAGCTTCCTGTTCGCCCACATAGCTCTCCTCTGTCCATCGTCTCACTGACAATTAGGGCCCCATTCTGCAAATTCACTTCTCTTCAGTTCCCTGCACAGAACACAATCCGCCGCGGCGAGGAGACATGTTTGATACCCAGCCCCAGCTCATCGGCAATATTCCCTATAATAAAGGTACCAGGCTCTAATTCGCGGGAACCGAATAGCATCTACAGTACCGAATAGCATCCCATCCAGCGATTGCAGAACAAAAGCAGAATAGGTTAGAAAGAAAGGAAAGAAGGGCTATTTCCGAACCCGATATCTGCTTTCATTTATCCCCTTCAGAGTGTCAACCTCTCCACAAATAAAGCCTTGTTCAGTATCTTCTGCCGAAGAACAAGACTATTTCAGATTTCAGTGGAATGCTTTGGTATAACTCAATTGCGAAAAGCTAACATCGAGTCTTTTCCTTGTTTTTCCCTTTGTCATCTGTTCCCACAGCAAAAATCCCTTCAGTGTTTGCCTTTACTAGAAGAGTGTTCTGCGTAGGGAAAGCTAGTATGATCGTGATGGACAGCAGCGACAGCTTGAGTCTAAATGGATTATTACAGCGAATGTGTTGATTCTATCAAAAAGGCAATAGTTTTTAAAAATTAGCAGTTAGCATTTGATTTTAATTTCATCCATCTACTAGCAATATTCAAAAAGCAAAGAATCACAGAGTCAAACGCCAGAGGGGGCAACCAGGTCTTCTAGTGTGACCTCCTGTGTATCACAGGCCACCAGCACCACCCAGCACCCACACACTAAACACAACAGCCAAAATTAGACCAAAGTATCACAGCCCACTTAAAACTAAACAATTATTTGCTACAGGGAGAGAATAGGAGGGACTGAGGGGCACTGATGTTCAAGGTCACACAGCAATGATAGATACCCCTAGAGTGGTAGATCTGACTATCTGCGATACATGGAGAGAGATTATATAGCTGTAAATACTGTAGATTTATATATAGAACACATGTGTGACCTTACCCGATTAAAATATGATCATGTAGATCATTGTTGCAACCACAGTTATATATTTGCAACACATCTTGTGTAAAACGTGGCATGTAAGATGTCTATGAAAAGGTTATGAGTCACAGATTGTGATTATGCTATCTGTAATCATGTATTACTTTTGTATTTGAAATTATGAACATTGGCTCTATACCTGGATTTCAAATGTTTGCTCCTGCGGTAATGCTCATGAAGTAGTTAGCCAGCACATCTTGGAGGGACTATTCAAATTGAGTGGCCCGTCAAAAGGACACTTAACTCACAAGGGACCATAGTAGACACCCATCTACATTGAGTGGACTGTCCTGCAAATGTGCTACCTGGAAAATAGGTAGTGGCCTCCTGCAATGACTGAGCGAAACTGGGCATGAACATGTGACTTGCCCATGTGACTCCAAACACTATCTGGTCACCTGTGATTCTCTACTAGCTGGGCTGAGGTTTCTGTTTGAAGCAATGGGTTTCCCTCCACATGGCAGAGGATATAAATGGCCCTGGAAACCCCTCCATTTTGCCTCTATCCTGCTCCAGCCTCTATCCTGCCCAAGCCTCTGGACTATACTAATGGGCGCATTCTAACCCGTGGACTGAGGACCTTTCAATGATTTGGAAGCAGCCAGAGACTTGCCTTAAGACAGCAGTTTATTCCATCACAGCTACAAGCCTAAAAGAAGAACTTTACAATTACTATATGTATTGTAGTGGCTCAATCGGGGACACTCCCACTCTGGGTCCTCAGGAGGCCACTCTGCCTCACTACGTGAATGATACTTCAGCCACCGTGGGGAACGAAGCAGTCTCCACTTGCAGCTGGGGGCCCAGGCCTGTGCTCAGGCTGGCAGGGAAACAAACAGTCAATTAGCCCAGGCCCTGGATCAAGGCGGGACACCAAAGAGTCTGAGGCTCAGGCTTCTGGCCTGGGGAAGGGGTGACTGCCACCCCTTGTGATGTAACTTACATCAGAAATGCGCACTGGGAGGGTTCCCCTGCTATATAGGGCATAGGGGAGGGGAGCCGCAATCACAGGCAACTATAGAGATGTTGTAGGTGGCCGCCCCCCTGCCCAAGACGCCGCTGGTCACCAAGGAGAATGTGTTTTCCGCAGGGGACAGCAGCTGAAACGGTACGTTCTGCAGAATGTGGCCGCTGATCTTCCCGTTGTCTTCGGAGCCCTGGTCTATGACGCTGAGCAGACCGACCATCGTCCCAGCTGCAGTGTCTTCCCCGATAGGATTAGAAAGGGAATTTACCGTCACTGCTGGGACATTGTAATTGCCATTCACAACATTTACAAGAACTGTGCAACGCTAACTGACTTCCCTCCCGCGCCTGCACTCCCACATTATATTCTCCACAATTCACTTCACCTTCCACCCCTAACTCCCCGTTATCAGGATCGATAGAAAACATTTTCTGAACATTGATTGTCGTGTTGCTGCCAACAATTTCCTCTATCCTTCCATTTCCTCCTTCGTTTAAATCGGTGCCATTCAGTCAATAACCAGGATGCCTTTGTCCACATTCTCCACTAGGCAGATAGTGTAGATGTTTCCATCAAATGCAGGGGCGTTATTGTTAGACTCCAGCACAGTGATACTCATCTGGAGGGTGCCAGATCTTTGGGGAGCCCCATTGTGTTTAGCTGCTGTTATTCGATTCTGAGTCGATCCTTTTTCTCTGTCCAATGACTCTTCCAGTATTAAAATTGGCACTTTATTATGTCCGCCACGATTCTCTACTTTCAAAGCAAAGTGTGCATTTGCCCAAATCTCATAGGTGAGCAAAGAATCGGCACCAAGAGGATCTTGAGCCCTACTATAGGAAGTACACTGCCCACTAAAACAGATTCAGCCACGTGGGGAAATCATCCAGGATTTCTAGTTCCACATACTACATTGCAAGATTTTCAACCACAATCTTAAATTTCAGTGCACAACGTACTGTCCGCCCACGCAGCTCTGCTCTGTCCATTTTCACAGTGACGATCAGGGCTCCATTCTGCATTTTCAGCTCCACAAAGTCTCTTTTCCTGACACAGTCCGCAGCCTGCGAGCTGGCAGGTTTCTGATATTATCCAGTTCTAGATCCTCGGCCATATTCCCCATAAAAGCACCAGGCTAGCGCTTCAGACACTCAGTAACGAGCCTCTTCAGAGACAGACACACAGAACCAGCATGCAGTAAATAGGTCTCTTAAGTACCAGCCCTGAGTCCGACATCTTAGTTTGCTTCTGTTCTTCAGAGTAACCGCTTCATAAAGGCTTGGCAATAAGATCGTTTCTTGTCTCTGCCTCGCTGTGGTTCACTATGTTGTGCAACAAAATAAAGAAATAATTAAAATATACAGATACATTCCTTTGAAAATACCTTTCTGTTACCTTTGCCTGTTTACTCGTGTGGTGACCGTTGTCTTTAGTGACTTGCTTTGCTGACTGCACTGTGAAAGGGACAAATCATCCGCGATCCTTGTCCGTAACTGTAGACAACAGCGACATCTTGAGCCTAAACCAAAAATTGCTCGAAATGAATCGCAACATCAAAACCTCTATCAAGAAAATGCTTCATGAAATGTGAAGAGGAAAGATAAATGTGGGAATGTCATAAAAGCTACAAACACATATTTTCTACTGATTCTTTTGCACGTGTAGGCTGTTATAGTATCGGGTTCTGTAATTTAAAAACCAACGAAAAATATAGGTCTTGACCCAGTTATAATATGTCCTCTTACTACAGCGTCCATTTTCTTTTACTGCATACCCTTAGGCTCCGTATCTATTGCTAATGACGCATCTCATATACTTTGGCAAATAGGCCGATAAATGAAATATTTAAAGCTAGACATAAATAATTAGGATGTAATTGTTAGTCGTCAATATTGGGAGTTTGTCTCCTTACACGTTAGTCATCATCGTATGCGGATGAATTAGAAAAATAGTATAAAAGCATTATCATATGTTTATTAAATGTTTGCCTCCACTGAAAGTACCTAGTTATCTACAAAAGGTTAAACTTCATTCCATCTTTGTTAAGAAACTAACATATCTTACAAACGAAAAGAAGAAAGCAAAGCTTTTTACTCAAAACAGCTGACTGAACAAAACATCTCCTTCCTAATCGGAAGCTTCCTGAATTTGGGCTGTCATGCACAGATCACAGTCAAGGAGAGAAAGGAGAGAAAACCTTGGGTTTTGTCATACCTGAGTCTAAGTTCTAAAAAGCACTATGGCTCTGTTCCCTTGATCACCTGGTATCTCTTCTCTGCATCTATTCCACCATCACAAAAGGTGGATTTAAACTTGATCAAGTGAACTGTTTGATTGTAAAAAGTCTATACAAGCTGTATCAGGAGGACTCCAAACCGTGAGCAGTTATCTACTAGTGTAGTAACCCTCTGAGATTAGGACAGTATGGGTTTGACTCCCTCCAGTGCAGTAGGGGCTGCAATCTGCACCATCCTGCACTACCAGGGCAGTTCTAACATTAGGGCAGACTTCACCCTCTCCCTTTCTCTTGCCATTCCACTGGAAATTTATGCTTGGGGCACCACAGGAGCACCGCATACTGACACTGGCTGGAAGCTGCACTGGTTCACTACATCTCTGGGATGCCCTGCTTGGGCTGGTGCCAGCCCAGCTCAGGAGGCATACGTTCAGTACGACCTGTATGAATTCAGGATAGTATCTCAGTATTAGCCAGCCTAAATGTACTTCCTGTCTAAATAAAATTGGCAAAATGCAAGCCATCCTCATAGCAATGTAGTTATAGACATTTTAAAACACATGAATCATTACTTGACAAATGTATTAGACTGAGCTTGTCGCCATTCTGTAGCTCAACTCCCAGTTGGAAGAGGCAGGATGGGGAGCTAGCTCCGCGAAAGGATGCTTCACTCGCTGACCGTGCTTAAACTCCTGGATGTCTGCCACCTCTCTCAGGCAGTACATAGACAACAGTGTTGAAAGCTGCAGAAATATCCAGGAGAATTAGAATGAATGTCTCTCTTTATCCATTTACATACTTCATACATCAGTGCCCTTAGAGCTGTTTCCATCCCATATCAGTGCCTGACTCCGGAGTGTGCTGCGACTGGAATGTTGGCCTCATTAGATGGACTTGCTACTGACCTTTTGTTAGCTTCCGTATCAGCGTGGTCAGGAATGAGACTTTTGACATAAGGAGGCAGTTGGCTAGAACCAATGTATTCAGATTTCGTCAGTGTCGGTCGGATTTCACTGCATGTTTGAAGCAGGAAGGGACGAGTCCCTCCCTAATGATCAGTTGACCAGTTCTTCACGAGTGGCTTCAACTGCTTATAACTAAGGCTGCCAGTCGTTCATGTAAGTCACAGGAGTCATGGAGTCTTTGACTTTCCTGGAAGTCTGTGACTTCCAGAGCAGCCGGTGCAGGGTGACCCCAGGGCAGACGTACCGGTCACTGCTTGGGTGGCCCCAGGCAGCTGGTCCCGGGAACTGTCCCAGAACAGTAGTCCAGGAGCAGCAGCGGGGCCCCATGCCTCCCTCCACCCGAAGCAGTAGGGGCCACCTGCAGCCGAGAAGCAGAAGCATATACTGATGCCGCCCTCCCAGGAACAGCGGTGTCTGAGGAGTGCACCCCCTCACCCCCCACGCCCAGTACCTAACGCATAACTAGGGGTATTTTAGTAAAAGTCATGGACAGGCCAAGACTTTTTGTTTATTGCCTGTAGCCCGTGACTAAATTGTATCCTTACTTATAACTTTCACCAGCGAGTATGGGAATGGGGTCAGAGCCACAGCTGTAGGGTTGAGACTCTTTTAGCATAGCCAGGACTGCTTTAATGTGCTTGTACTCTCTTAGTTTGGTGGGTTTGGGGGGGGGGGGGGGGAGCAGATCCATGATGCTTTTGGCAGAGTTTTGTTGCAGGCTGTAGGCACTTGGGATTGATGAAACGAAGCTCTTTAGCGTTGGATTTGGCAGCATGGATGGAAGCTGAGAGGAAGGTTCTCTTGGGCTGCAGCTACACTGCTCATCATTCGAGAGCCTTCGGAGGGCATGTTCCGCTGGCTATGGAGGGTAGTGGCCAGTGGACAACCTGTCTCTGGCAGTTGGCACAGACGAAGAACAAGCAATGAAAAGTGTTGCAGGATATTGGTCATTTAGCCTCTTAAGCCATCCTGCCCTGAAGAGGATAGGAAAGACACTTCACTAGTGCTGCTCTACTCCCCCGAAGCACACCTCGCACTTGCAGGAGAATAATTTTCTCCTAAGAAAGGACAAAGCCGCCCCCCCGGTCATATACTGCAGAAAACCCACACCAATGCTGGGAGGTGAGAATGGAAAAGAATCACAGAGTCACTTTGTTCTAACAGGTTTCAGAGTAGTAGCCGTGTTAGTCTGTATTCGCAAAAAGAAAAGGAGGACGTGTGGCACCTTAGAGACTAAATGCTCAAATAAATTTGTTCCTCTCTAAGGCGCCACAAGTTCTCTTTTTCTTTTCGTTCTACACTGAACTTTTTTAGAATAAAGCTAACTATGCCGATCTCTCTTTTTCTGCTTAATCACAGGGGTTCAGCCTCTCTTGCTTTACACTGAAAATACACAGAGATGGAGGTTAACGCTAACCGTATGCTGCTTTTTGACTGATTCTCAGGTGTTAAGGTCAGATGGGACCATTATGAGCATAGACTATTAGGCTTGCAAGGGACCTCAGGAGGTCATCTAATCTAACCCTGCTCAAAGCAGGCTCAATCACCAACTAAATCCTCCCAGCTAGGGTTTTGTCAAATCTAACCTTCAAAACCTCTAAGGAAGGAGAGTCCACCACCTTCTTAGGTAACCCATTCCAGTAGTTCAAGACCCTCCTACTGAAAAAGCTTTTCCTAATATACAACTTAAACCTCCCCCACTGTATCCTATCCCTACCCTCCAGCGTATCTAGCTGTCCTCCAAGTTTAGTGTCATCTGCAAATTTGCTGAGGGTGCAGTCCACGCCATCCTTCAGATAATTAATGAAGATTTCGAATAAAACCGGCCCGAGGACCGATCTTTGGGGCACTCCGCTTGATACCGGCTGCCAACTAGACATGGAGTCCGTTGAGCCCGACAATCTGGCAAGCTTTCTATCCACCTTATAGTCCATTCATCCAGCCCATACTTCTTTAACTTGCTGGCCGTAACTTCTTTAACTGTGGGAGACCGTATCAAAAGCTTTGCTAACGTCAAGATATATAACGTCGGTTGCTTTCCCCTCATACACAGAGCCAGTTATCTCGTCACAGAAGGCAATTAGATTAGCTTAGTCAGGCATGACTTGCCCTTGGTGACTACATGTTGACTGTTCCTGATCACCAGTCTGCAGTTTCTCAGGTTGTCCTTCACCTTCACATCAGTCAACCCTCAGCATTCTCAGATGGATTGCATGGACGTGTTCATATCCAGCATTTCTAAATAGTCCTTCACCTGTTCGTTCACTACTGAGGGCTGCTCACCTCCTCCCCATCCTGTGCTGCCCAGTGAGGCTGTCTGGGAGCTGACCTTGTGTGTGAAGATCGAGGCAAAAAAAGCATTGAGTACTTCAGCTTTTTCCATATCACCTATCACTAGGTTGCCTCCCCAATTCATTAAGGGTCCCACACTTTCCCTGACCCTTTTCTTTTTGTTATGATAGTTCTAGAACCTTCTTGTTACCTTTCACATCCCTTGATAGCTGCGACTCCAGTTGTATTTTGGCCTTCCTGATTACACCCCTGGATGCGCACGCTCCCTCCCCCCCATCTTACGCCCGAGCCTCATTTACAGATCTAACTGTGCGGTCCACCTCTCCCCAGCTCCTTCTCTACCACAGCGCCTATGGTTCAGAAGAGGGGAGGAGGGAGGGTGGAAAGTCCATTGGAACACGCATGTTAAAGAAAGTCAATTACTTCACAAGGCAAGTAACCCTCTCCTGTTCTTCGAGAGATGCCTTATGGCTTCTCCACTCTAGGTGACAATAAAGCAGTGCCCCTATTTAAAAGGCTGGGTCTTTGGGGTGCTACTTACTGCAAATAATAAGACAGTGTGTCCTAGTAGATTATCTGCTGCATCGTTATAAATAATGACGTAGTGATGGATAAAAATGTCAGCAAAGGGGACATTATTGAGAAAGGCAATTGCGGTGGCGCGCAATCGGGTGCAATCTAAGACACACCAGGATTGCAATCTAAGCCATTTAAGGAGGTAAGTGCATCTAGTGTCGCATCTGCTACTCAAGACTATTTGTTAAATTGCTTCTGAAGAGGTTATTCCTGAATCCCAGAACCGTGGAGTGGCCATGCTTTGAAACCTGTGGATTGGGATGGAGGATGCGAGCTCTGTCCTGTAAAATGAGTCACAGACTCGGCTGGAGAGTCAGAGATCAGAGGTCATACGGTCATGCGAATGAAGTAAGTAGATGAGCTCTGTCATGACCATGTCGGAGCTATATAATAGCTATCAAAAGCCTCTTGTATCTTGCGCAATACTCGCAATAGAAGTGGAAAGGGAGGAAAGACTTACAGTAATCATAGAATCGTAGAATCACAGCATATCAGGGTTGGAAGGGACCTCAGGAGGTCATCTACTCCAACCCCTTGCTCAAAGCAGGACCGATCCCCAATTAAATCATCCCAGCCAGGGCTTTGCCAAGACTGACCTTAAGAACTTCCATTCGGTCCCTAGTCTGTAGCGCTGCATTGGGTTCTTCCGTCCTAAGTGCAGGACCCTGCACTTGTCCTTATTGAACCTCATCAGATTTCTTTTGGC